ATTTTTGTCTCGAGCTGCTGCCGCGGCTGCTCGCGGCCTAAATCCAGAGGGGCGCCTGACGGTGGAGATGCTGGCTGTGGCTGTAGATGGAGCTGCAACCGCTCGGTGGCTTCTCCAGGAGGAGGAGGAGGAGGAAGGAGGGGAGGAGGGGGAGGGAGGAGGGAACCGCCGCTGCCTCCGCCCCTGCTTTGCATTAGCCCCCACCCCCACCCCCGCGCCCCTTCGCCGCCGCAGTGCAAGTTTTCAGCGCGGGGAAAATCTGTTGCTAGTGCTTGGCGTTCGCAGGCACAACCCCCCGAGGCCACCCCGGGCGGGGCGTGCGGCGAGCCCCGCAGACGATCGTAGCCGCAGCAACAGGGAGCCGCGGGGTCTCCTCCCGCACCTGGGAAGGAGGCTTCTAGCCATTCCCGGCTGGGAAATAACCCATCTCCCGCATCCCGGTGCGGAAGGGGAGGCTGGAATCGGGGAGGGGGAGCTCGACCTTCGCGCTACACCCCCTCCCCAACCTTCGCCCCCCACCAGTCCCATCCCCGGCCCTCCCCAATGCCCCCCTCCCCTTCCCCCCCTCCCCAACCCGGGCGCGCTCCTCCTCTGGCCCAGGTCTCACTGCAGCTCTCTCTCTGCTTCCAGTGGTGATCGCAGCTCGGGAATGCGGGTGTGAAAGGTCCGAGCAGCCGCCCCAGCAGGGAGGAGACCCCGGGACGCCGGAACCCACCATCCCGAAGCTGCGAGAAGGGGGGAAAAAAGAGCATTCTTCATTCAGTTGTGTGCCTTGTCAGGGATAGGAAAAAAAATCGCTTTTTTTTTTCTTATAAAGAAACACTTCCGTGCTACTGTCTGTCATCGTCTCCGAGGGAAATCAGCCAGAATCACCGGAACGTAACCGCCCGCGGACCGGAGAGGCAGGAGCCCGGGCAGTACCTGCCGCGTCCCGGCGCCCGAGCCACCTTGGAACGGGAACGCGTCTCCGGCGGCCACGGGGCTGCGGCTCTGCCAAACTTTGGGGCGGGCGGGAGTACCGAGGGGGGCTTGGAATAGACGGAGGGCGGCCCCCTAACCATGATGTTTCGCGACCAGGTCGGGGTGCTGGCGGGCTGGTTTAAGGGCTGGAACGAGTGCGAGCAGACTGTTGCGCTGCTATCGCTGCTGAAGCGCGTGAGCCAGACCCAGGCCCGCTTCCTCCAGCTCTGCCTGGAGCACTCGCTGGCCGACTGCACCGAGCTGCACGTCCTGGAAGGCGAGGCCAACAGCCCGGGTAAGTGCGAGGCCATCGGGCGTCCTCCCCCCCCCCAGCCCACCCTGGAGCCTCACCCCTCCTCCTGCACCTCTAGCTTCAGATCCGGTCCCGCCCCCCCCCCCCCCTCCCCCCTTCGCCCGCCGCAGCGCCCACCCCCCCAATCTCGCCAGCCCCTCGGGATCTTAGCCTGTACCCCCCCATCCGGTCTCCCCCTCCGCTGGCCGCTTTGGGGGTTTTGTCCACTGTGAACTCCTTAGTCCTATTCCGTGTGGTAGCCACGGTAGCGTGAATGATTGATTTTTTTTTTTCTTCTCCCATGCAGTTTCCTGGGAAATAAGTAAGTCAGGTCACGTAGAGTCTGGATTTTCTGTGTGTGTGTGTGTGTGTGTGTGTGTTTCCCTCCCTTAACATTCCCGCCCCCACCCTCCCTCCTTTTGGACAACGTGGCTCGCTGGATTTCAGCAACACATGTGAAAGCCCCGGGATTGCCCTATGGCTACAAACTCAAATCGGGCTGTATGAAGAATGCCTGCAAATGCGATTCTATGATTCTCCCTCCCTCCCCCTTACCCCAGACAGATATAACGGTTTTAAGAGGCTTGTCTTCAGAATAATATGTAGGTGACGCTACAGGCTATTAAAATGACACTTGCAGTGGGGATGTGACGTGGCTACACACGGGTGGTGACGTCCGCCGTATTGATAAGGATCTTGGAGGAAGAGCAGTCATGAATTGGGCTCCTTAACGCTTTTCCTTAGGAAACTTTCCTGAATGGCACAAAATTGTTTCCTGGTACCCTGCTGGTATTTACAGACACCTCCACTCGTATAGAATGTAATCTTCTCTCGCAAAGGTCCAGCAGTTTGCCATTTGCTAGCCTACATGGTGACAGACAGAAATTATATCCTCCCAGTAATCGGAGGCTGCGTGTGTGTGTGTGTGTGTGTGCACGCGCGCGCGCGGGGGGCGGGGGGTCTGCTAGTGTGTAATTTTTTTTTTTTTGGAAGGGAGAAAATTCTTTGGTTCACACTGCTGCAGGAGGGTGAACAGAGCCCCCAGTGTTTCTGCAGAATAAAGAATGCAGGGTCCTCTTCCAGCTGTTCCCTGTTAGCACAGCAAGCCTTCAAGACTGGGCAGAGCTCTGGGCTGCCTTTTGATGATAAGGTCCAGTCCAGGGCAGGGGGCCTTGGGAGACAGTCAAGTTGTGCCTTTACAGGAGCAAGAGAAAAGCTGGCCGCTTCCTCATTCCTCCTGGCTGGCATTGGGCAGTGGTGCTCCTGAGGTTGAAATCATTAAGATGGGATGTTTCCATATATAGAATCGCAGGGTGGTGTGGTGAAGGCTGGAAATCCTCACAGGCCTTTTCCTGATGGCACCCAAAGGAACCTGCTTTGTGGAGCAGGGAGGTCCATCCAGCCATAGGGCTCCTCACAACTATGGCAGTGCCAGGGCCCCCTTTGCTTGAGCACCACATTTATAAATAGCTGAGGGCCAGCCTCCTTCCTAAGCAGTAGAAGCATGACAAGGATAATTCATGATCTATTTGCTTTGCTTTTTAATGTCAACCCATAGCCCAGTGCACCCGGGTGTTTTTGCTTTCTCAGGTTTGACAAACAAGGTTAAATAAACTTTTTTTTTTTTTGGGGTAGAACCCAAGAATTTAAGTATAGTCATTTATGTTGAATGCTTTGACTTCAGCTTGTCGGGACTGTTTAAACAAGTGATAAATCTTTACATTAGTCAAATATTGGCACTTTTCTTTTTCCCTTTGAGTAATGATGAGAGATCTTTCCTAATACAGCTTCTGTCAGGTTAGGAAAGAAAGGAATGAGATGTTGTATTTTACTAAACAGAACTATTACTTTAAAAAAATCTTATAATTTAACATGTTCCAACTATTGTGAGTTAAAAAAATCATTTGCTAATTTTTTCCCCTCTCAAACTTAAAAATATGTACCAAGATTTGAAATCAGGGCTCCAGCCTAGCCTGCTCAGCTTGCTTGGTTAGGACTCTACAACTTGAGCCACCACCCCCTGAACTTTGCTGTCTGGCCTGGCTTGGAACTATGATTCTCCTGATCTGACTTTCCTGAGTAGCTAGAATACAGACGTGAACTACTGGTTCTCAGTTCAAGTTTTTTAATTTTTTTTAAAAATCATGCATATTTGTGTAAAGTATACACATCTTTGCACCATTAAATGATGTAGCTGTGTAAAATATATCATGCCATTATGTAAAATAGGGACCATTTTTCTAGTTTCTGGGTTGATCTCTCAAGTGAAACATTTTACTGGCATTTGTTTTATTGTGTGGTCTGGACAGAAATTTATTAGGGAGGTCACATGGTTGTCTGATTTACTTTTGGAGGATAGAATCATAGACAGCATCAAGATCTATCACTGAGTGCCTGTGGGTCTTTCTTCCCATCTGGAACTTAGCAGAAATGTCCACTTAGCAACCAGAACAGATGGCATAAGTGACCAGACCCTATCTCAGAACATATTATTTTCCTAGACGCAATCCTATTTCGCTCTAATTTGACAATGATCCATAGATGATGTATTAGGAATAGCACATTAAGAATAGAATAAGCTGGATACTAGTGATTTAGTTTTTCACCTATAAACTACTAGTTCCTCAGAAGCCTGAGATCTGAAGATTGTAGTTTGAAGCCAGCCCGGGGAAGAATTTTATCTACAATAACCAGCAAAAAACCAAAAGGTGGAGGTGTGGCTCAAGTGGTAGAGCACCACCTTGAACAAAAAGCTAATGGAAGTTTGAGTTCAAGCCCCAGTTCCAGCACACAAGAAAAGAATGGGATGAGAGGTTGCTGTAACCAGCAGTGAAAGTGACTCCTGATACCTGACAGCTAGAAAAGAATCAGGAGAACTATAACTTTAGACACAGGAATTGGAGCGAAAGGCCTGAAGGTTTGGAGCTCTTAAGGTAGGAACCCTTAGTTGATCCTGCTGGTATCCCTCCCTTTGTAAAACAAAACAAAAGATTAATGATTGCTGTTTACTGGTAATAGCAACAAACTACCAAAAAGATATATTAGGAAAAAAAAAGACTCTCTAAGAAGACTGGGAAAAGCTCAGTCTACTTGGGAAATATTTACACCCAAGTTAATTAACCTCTGAATCTGTTTTGATGTGTCTTACCAATTCAGAAAACTAGGCTGTGCTGGATGACTCATTCATTGAATGGCTGAGATTTCCTGTAACCAAGTCATCCTCTATCTTCTACTTCATTTTGTAATCGTCAATTAAAGCATGTGCATTTTTCTTTTAATTATATCTTAACTTTAAAATTGGATAGATGGGAACCAAATTTATATCTAGGGCTTGATCTCAGTGTAGTAAAGAAAAACCATTAATAATAATATGAACTGACTTTGACCACTAAAAACTATTTTAGCCAGGCACTAGTGGCTCATGCCTATAATCCTGGCTACTCAGGAGGCTGAGATCTGAGAATTGTGGTTTGAAGCCAGCCCAGGCAAGAAAATCCTTAAGACCCTTATCTCCATAAAACTACTCAAAAGAGCCAGAAGTGGTGCTCAAGTGGTAGAGCACTAGCCTTGAGCAAAATAAGCCCAAGAAGAGCACCCAGGCTCAGAGTTCAAGCCCCAGAACAAGCAAAAAAAAAAAAAAAAACAAAACCTAAAACCAATTATTTCTTTTGGTACTGGGGTTTGTCATACTTGCCCAGCAGGTGCTATTCCACTTGAGCTTTTCTACCAGCTCTGAACTTAGGTTTTTTTTTTTTTTTTTTTTTTGGGTCCGGTCATGGGGCCTGAACTCTGGGCTTGGGCGTTGTCCCTCAGCTCTTCAGCTCAAGGCTAGCACTCTACCACTTGAGCCACAGCACCACTTCCGGCGTTTTTCTTTTTTTGCTTATGTAGTGCTGAGGAATTGAACCCAGGGCCTCAGGCATGCAAGGCAAGCGCTCTATCACTGAGCTACCTTCCCAGCCCCTGAACTTAGGTTTTTTTTTTTTTCCTTGTTGATTTTATTTTATTTTTTTCCTCTTCAGTACTGGGGTTTGGATTTTGTTAGGCAGGCACGCTAACATTTGCCACACCTACATACAGCTCTAGTTATTTTTCAGGAAAGGTCACACATATTTATCTGGGGCAGGCCTCCCTGTAGCTGGACTCATAGGTACATGTTCTGTTTATGTGTTCAAGTGGAGTCCCTATAATTTTTTACCTGTGTTGGCCTTGCTCTCTGCCTTCTGAGTAGCTGCGATCACAGGTATAAGCCACTCCACTAGACTGGTTTTAGTGCTTTTTGAGCCATGGTTTGTGTGTTTGCCTTAGGACAGCCTTGGAAATTAATTATTGTTATTATTTGAACTCTGGGCCTGGGCGCTGTCCCTCAGCTCTTCAGCTCAAGGCTAGCACTCTACCACTTGAGCCACAGTGCCACTTCCGGCTTTTTCTACTTATGTGGTGGTGAGGAATGGAACCCAGGGCCTTATGCATGCAAAGCAAGCACTCTACCACTGAGCCACCTTCTCAGCCCCTGGAAACGAATTCTTACCTTCACCTCCTCAGTAGTTGGGATTATAGGCATGGCTCACCAGTTCTGGCCCTTGAGTGTGTGTTTTATTGCAAACTTTCATCCTCTTGAATTTACTGAAAATCTAGTGACTCATTGGGTTATCCTTTATGGTCATGAGAGAGAAAGTAGTTGACTCAGTGCGTACTGTAGTTTGGGTCTGGAATGTGTCCTAAAGGCTCCTGTGTTGCAAGTCCCTAGTTTGGTATTATTGCTTGGTTGTAGAACCTTTTACAGATGGAGCCTGTACAGAAATATTCAAGTCATTGGAGGTCTACTCTTATGGGGGATAGTGGGACACTTCCCCTTTTCTTTTCTTCAGCTCCCTGGCCATGAAGTGATAGGCATTGTTCTGTTGTGATGTGCTACCTGTCCCAAAGCAACCATGCCAACTGGTCATAGATTGGAACTGCCAAAACCATGTGTTAGAATAAACCCTTTCTCTTTATAAGTT